GAGGTCACCTGGCATCCTCCATGTACGCCCCTGCCCCCCATTCCTCCTCGCCCCATAGCGCTGGTATGTGTGCATGTGTATGGATAACATATCAATGTATTAAAAATCTGATTCCCCCAAATGGAAGTGACTCCCCATAATTTGTTCCCCACAACTTAAAGTGTTTAGATTGATTATTAATTCTTCTTATTATTATTTTTAGTTAAGATTGTTAAATGTTTGGATTTATTATTATTATTGCCCCTTTAGAATATAACGTATTAGGTCATGGAACTTAGAACTGTTAAGAATATAATCCTATGTAGCCAGAAACAGCCCCCCCTCTGTGCTCCAGGACATGCTCAAGCTTGTGCAAGGGGCTGCTTGAAATTGACATTGCAGAGATACATTGTAACAATGCATTGTCAAGCCACTATTATTATACAAAATACTGTATGAATGTATGAGAGAGTGCTTGGACGGATGAATGAATGGTTCTGAGAGGTGCCAGCCTGAGAATGCAGCAACAAAGGGCTGAAGAAGGTGTCAGGTGCCAGTGCAACCAAAAGGTGTCAAGTGGAGAAAACCAAGTACTGGAGATCCACCCGATGAGATCACTGACGAGCACCTGGCAGCCACCCTGGACATCAGCATGATGCAGCAATTCCCATAGACTGGCATAGGAAGAAATTCCTATAAGAACTGGACTAAAAGACTATGGAGTCAGAGTCCAAGGTTCTGCTGCCAGCCCATCAGGAGCTTGAGATGCGCATCTGATCAGGACTGCGCTCCCCACTCCCATCACTTGTGTACAGAATACCTGGCCAGTATTCGGTCACAAGCAACTTCCAGGCTGGTAACTATAACAAATACACAGAACCTGAATGAATGGATGAATGAATGTTTATATGTATAAGGGTTAAGTAGTTAAACAACATTGTTTGCTTCTATCTTTTCTTTATTCTTTATTATTTTTACAATAAATGTGGCTTTTTGCCTTATCCCCCTCATAAGATCCTGCTTGCTTCTATTTGGTACAACACACGCACACCGCGCTGGTACGCACACACACACACATGCCCACCACGCTGGTACGCACACACACACACACGCACGCCCACCGCGCTGGTACGCACGCGCACACGCCCACTGCGCTGGTATGCGCACACACACACACGCCCACCGCGCTGGTACACACACACGCTGGTACGTGCACACACATATGCACACCGCGCTGGTACACACATGCACACCGTGCTGGTACGCGCACACACATGCGCACACCACGCGCACACACAGTGCGTGTGTATGCACGCACACCGCGCTGGTATGCGCACACACACACGCACACCGCGCTGGTAATTTTGCTACACACACACACACACCCACACACATATGCACCCCATCCAAGCACCCACACACATATGCACACCACGCTGGTACACACATGCACACATGCACACCGTGCTGGTACGCGCACACACACACACGCACACCACGCGCGCACACAGTGCATTGATACGCACGCATGCACACCGCGCTAGTACGCACACACAGTGCATTGGTATGTATGCACGCACACCGCGCTGGTACGCACACACAGTGGGTTGGTATGCATGCACGCACACATAGCGCTGGTACGCATACACATGCACACACAGCACTGGTACGCACTCGCATGCACACACAGCGCTGGTACACACACACACACACACAGAGCACATTGGTACATATGCACACGCACACAGCGCTGGTACACACACACACACACACAGAGCACATTGGTACATATGCACACGCACACAGCGCTGGTACACACACACACACACACAGAGCACATTGGTACATATGCACACGCACACAGCGCTGGTACACACACACACAGCGCTGGTACGCACTCGCACGCACAGAGGAGCCAACATACAGGCGGGCACATGCACACCTCCAGCCCCTAACCCTCTTAGGGTGCTTGTGCGCTG